ATCCTGGTTTTTACTTCGTTTTATCTTGATTCGAGATGAGCCAAAGGCGCCCCCTCTGATGAGGGGTGGTTCAAGGTTTTTGAACAACCCTTACAGATTTCCACAACGCAAGATTTCCTTCAAGTCTGATCTCAACGCAACACTAGTGTTTGAACTAACTATTGAAAAAATATCGGAGTTAGAAATTCAGACATCGGCAGCTGAGCTTCAACAGGTGAGGCTCAACCAAAAATGCACCATCACATCCGCTGCCGAACCCCACATAAACCGGCGACCAGCTGCAGATATTGATCCCGTGAGATCGTCCCCCCCTGTAGGCTTGGTAATGCCTCAACCGCTGCTCTTCCTTACTCCTAGTCGGTCTTGCTGCTTCACCAGCGTCTATCGAGTTCAGCCTCAACTCAGCCTTCATCTGTAGAGACAGAATCTTGTTACCGAAAGTCTTGAAAGTAGAGCGAGCCGTTATTCCATTCCCTAGGAACTGGTTGTAACCTTCCAGGGGATTGGTTGTCCGCTGGGGAGGAACATCTTCGACAGGCTCGCTTGCCCACTGGCTCACCGGAAATGTTGAGGTGTCGGTCATGTAGTGGGAGTCCAGATACAAAACAAGCTTCGCTATCTTCTCGCCCTGTGGTTTGCGCTCCTTCATATCTGCCCAGGCCAGCTTGCATTCTTCAACTGATAGGCACGGTAATCCAATCACACTTCGGAGCCACCTCCCAGTAGGTGTACGGACATTCTCAGAGGCCCAGTACTCAGAAGCCAAACCTTCACTCTGGTATGCACGTATCCACGATTTGGACAAATGGAACAAACAGCCTCTCAACCTTTCCGGATCTATTTCCCATACCCTCAGAATGGCCTGACGCATGCCGAGTTCATAATCAGTAATTATGTACAAAGTAGATATGATCTGGAATAACCCTTTACCAGTGAGCACATCTCGGAGCTTCAGCAGGGCCCTCTCATACTCTTCCTGGGTCTTCCGCGCCATTAGAATGAAAACCGCCGGAATGTAGTACCCCTGTTTCTCGATAAGAATGACCCACAATTGCTGCCATCCTTTGGGCGCCACGGCAAATGTAGCATCAAAAATAAGACCACTGCTACCATTTAATGCGTTGAGATTGCGGTCTGCAGCCCATATGATCATTGGCCGACCGGCATCGGCATGTAAGAGAAGTCGTTGATCATTTCCCCTACACT